CCCCAACTATGGATTAAAAATCACTGAAAAAGTTAAGANAATTTCCTGGTGCATATTTTTTCAACACTTATTTCATACTGCATGAAGCGAAAAAAGCCCTGTATTTCTCAGTTTTACTGCGTTGGTTAATCCATAGTTGGGGTGAAAAGAGTTTATTTTTAGCTGGTAGAGGCCTGCAATCTGCTGAGTTAAATGAAATTCAAGATTATGCACTCTCCAAGCTAAAAGGTATTGGCGATGCAATATTTAAGGATGGTGATGTTATCAGTGGAGCTGATTGTATTGTAGACGCTGAAACAGGTAAGGTTACCCTCGAAACTGGTAAAATATACCTTCGTGGCTGCGTAAGAGAAGTTGAAAAAACAGAGTTTAAGATTCCAACAAATGCCACAGTTCGTGTTGGTGTTTATTATGTAGAATCAACTATTACAGAACTTGAGGATGAAAATCTTCGAGACCCTGCGGTTGGTACAAGAAACTATCAAGAAGTTGGAGCAGCAAGGCTTAAAGCTAACATTATTTGGGGTTTTCAGGCAGAAGGAATTATTGCTAGCTCGATAAACGGAGAGTTTTATCCCATCTATAACATTGAAAACGGGGTATTAATTCAGCATTCAGCTCCTCCACAAGCAAATGTAGTGACTACTGCTCTTGCTCGCTATGACATGGAAGCTAATGGTTCTTATGTGGTAGATGGCCTTGAAGTAATGTTTTTACAACGGGAAAGCCAAATGAGTGAAAGAAAACAGGTTTTTGTGATTAATGAAGGTAAAGCGCATGTTGATGGCTACGAAATCGAATTGCCCCATAGCTTGAGAGTTTATTTTGATGAAGATCCTGACATAAAGTTAGTTGAATCAGAACCTCACTCTTTTCAACCAAATAGCAACAGAGTTATGGAGCTCAAGGTCAATGATTTTCCTGTGAAAGAAATCAAAAAAGTGGACATTACTGTACAAAAGACAAATTCCTTGACTCATGGGTCGTATTCTGGAGTTGCTGATCCAATACCAGATTTTGCGGTACTGGAGATTATTCAGATAAAACAAGGCAACGTCATATATGAAAATAACACTGATTATAAGCTAAAGTCAGGAGATGTAGATTGGTCATTACCTGNAAGCG